CAAAACCCCTTTACATCGATATATAATGGTTTATAAAGGTTTGCATTATTCTAATGCCCGAAGACGCCGATTTTGGATAGTATTTGAAAGATATTGACATGAATATGTAACTTTTCGAATCAAAAATTGATAGTTTAAGCTGATATTTGCAGTTTTGATGCGGTTTTAGGTAAGATATGAGTCGAAGAAGCCGATTTTTACTAGAATCTGTTATAATGAGAAAGAAAAACCTACTTTAAATCCAAGTAAGTGGTTTTTTAAGTACTTATCTGTAGTTTTAATGTAGATTTGAGTCCGGAAAGTTATAAAAATGCAGGTTTATTTGTCCCAAAAAGAGGGTTTTTAAGTACTTATCTGCGTTTCCAAGGTAGTTTTAGGTGCATTAAGAGGCGAAAAAGCAGATTCTGGCAGGAATCTTACCGAAATCCGCAACTATTTGACTCAGTAACGGGGTTTTACACCGACATTTAATGATTTATAAAGATTTTCTCTATTATAATGCTTAAAGACGCCAATTTTGGCTAGTATTTGAAAGATATCGACTTGAATATGTAACTTTTTGGATCAAAAATTGATACTTTAAGCTGATTGATACTTTAAGTTTTGATGCGGTTTTAGGTACGATATGAGTCGGAGAAACCGATTTTCACTGGAATCTGTGTTTCAGATCTGGCCAAAATATTTAATCACTTCCAACCTGTGACTAAAGTAAAACAAGTTAGAACGATGGTATGATAACTCTAAAGACGAATTCATAACATTGACCCGAATATATTTTGACAAATTGGATAAACATTTCTTTTACGATTCGTCATCTACGCAAAATACAAAAGAAAATTTCGGACAAAACATGTCGCTTTAGAATCCTGAGCTGACATAAGTAGAGTGTCATGTTTGATGTTACTGAACAGTTGATAAATTATTCAATTTTTAAAGGCATTTTTTTGTTTTTTGACAAAATTGTATAACTCTGGGGATATTGCACCGCTTTCATACTTTTCCGCTACCTGAATTAACGATTATGTGGTAAGTGGTAAATAATGGACTAAAAGATATATACAATTGGTGTAGATATAAGGGATTTAGCCCAAACCACCAGAAAAAACAGTAAATAAAGTTTACTTACAGAAATCATAATTACGCCAATCAAGGGACTCCTGCCTAATTGTGTTCTAATTAAATGAATAACGAAAAAAAAAACACTTTATTTTCAGACAGTTTCGTTAAGCGGTTACTTATTGAAAGATTCAACTGTATTAAATATTTTTTCTGCAAAATTTGAGTTTATTTTTGGCATTTGCAAGCGTTCAGTTAAAAAAAACAGCTTTTCTCATTTTTTATAAAGTGTAAGTAAGTAATTTTATTTTATTAGTAAAAATTTGACCCTCTTCTTGACTGAATAACTGCCTGACCCCGCTCTGGCATGCTCGAAATTAAGTTCTCGATTAGATCCACAGCAACTTACTGCCATAGTTCCACAGTCATCTCGTTGAGATCATCCAATGTTCTAATTTTGAGGCAAAAACACTAAATAAAATGTAAAAAATGAAAGAAATGATTTTTTACTGTGCTTCTCCCTTTTCTCGAATTCGTCAAAATATGAACATTTTCCGCTACCTTGCATTCATACCCCGCACGAAATGGGACTTACAAAAAGTTCTACAACACCAACGAATAAACCAAAGCTTTGCACAACTGGCTAAAAATATATCATGAACTCATGAAAATCACAGGAACATGTAAATACGTAAGGGTTACAAAAACACCGAAATCAAATTATGAGGTCATAAATGTTTACTGTATCCAAAGTAGAGCTAGAAAAGTTGTAAAATTTGTTAAAAGAATATAATTTCTAATAATATACTTTCCTGGAGAATACAACTTAATTTATAAATGCAAGAATTTTCTGTAAACTTATTAATTATTATATGATAATAAAATACACCACCAAATAGAAATATAGAACTTAACAACAAAACAGTAATTAAATAATTAAAAATCCCGAATTTTGGCGCTATCCAAAACAGATTAAAAGTATAATTATTCGTTTTCAAAATAATCCAATTTACCATCACAAAACGTTTCATTTGTCTTATCGCTAAACAAATATGTATATCTGGAGAAATGAATTTAATCAATATTTGCAAGTATTTTGTGTCAACTTGTTAGCTCATCATATGATAATAAAAATGCACCACCAAATAGAAATATAAAAATTAACGAAAAATAATAATAAACCTACTGATTTTTAGCGCTATACATAACAGGCTAAACGTAGAATGAAACTTGATTTATTCTTTGTAAACAATCCAATCTAAATGTTTTGTGACTCAAATATACAAAAAGAATTGTACGAAGATTACAAAAAGTTTTGTTAAAAATGCAGTCTTACAAACGTTTGGTTTTTCCTTTTTGTAAACCATTTCAAATCACAAAAATATTCCCCTTGAAAAAGATCAATTCATTTGTAAATATGTATATTTTTAAATCTCTTGGGCACTTTTTCAATACCTGACGCGATTCCTCTTAGTATATCTACTTTAGAAGTAATCGTTCCCACTTCGCATATCTAATGCAGGATACGCTGCGACTTAACATAATTTCAAAGATAGCAAAATCTATAAAATGTGATTAATATAATATGATAAAATATGGAAATATGAAAAAAATTATTTGTTTTTGTTTAATGAATGTTTACATTAATTCGTAGTTTTGAAAATATCAGGCTCGTTTTTTAGAGAAGGAACCAATAAGTTTGGAAAAACACGGCTAACTATTGTCACTTAATGTACTATACTTTTAATACAAATTTTAGCATATTTTACCAGGTTACTTGCTTGAAAGTGATATGATACAGATAGTAATTCGGTAATCAGTTAAGTTTTGCAATGTGAAAGTAAGTTTCCAAAATTATACATTTCATTTCGCGAGGATACACCCTCAGGTTATTAACATTTTTACCTTGTCTAACAGATGCAAGGGTTACAAAACACACTGAATCTTATTAAGAATTCATAAACGTTTGCTGTATTCAAAGGACAAAAATTGTACAGCCCTGGAGAAATGAATTTAATTAATATTTGCAAGTATTTTCCGTCAAGTTGTTCATGAAATAATTGTCTGATAATTAAAAGAAACTACTAAACGTAAAATTAAAGTTGATGATTTATTTGTTTTCCAAATAATCAAATTAAAATATTTTATGACCCAAATAACCAAAAAAATTTAGACATATTGTGGTGATTGCCAAAAAGTTTTGTTGAAAATGGAAGATTCCAAACCTCTGGTTTTTACTTTTTTCCAAATTTTTTCATATCACAACAATATACATCTCAAAAATAACCAATTAATTTTACGTAATACGTATATTTTTAAATTTATTGACCACTTCTTCGATACCTGACGCGATTCCTCTTAGTATCTACCTACTTTTATCAGTCACCGTTCTTGCTTTACACATCTACTGATGAATACGCATATAATATGATAAAATGAAAAAAATAATCTGTTTTTATTTAATGAATATTTACGTATATTGATAGATTTGAATATGTCAGGTTTGTTTTTTATTGTAGTTATTGTTACCTAATGATAAAATAAAAAATAGTAAAAAACTTTTAATACAAATTCTTGTGTATTTTATAAACTTTAGTGTAGCAATAAGAAGTGATATGATACAAGGAGTAATTCAGTGATGAACTTAATTAATATTGGCAAGTATTTACTGTTATGTAGTTGATTAAATAATCATATAATAATAAAAATAAACTTCCAAATATCGCTATCCCAAACAAGCTAAGCGCAAAATTAAATTTTACGATTTATTTGTTTTCCAAATAATCCAATTAAAATATTTGGTGACTCTACTATAAAAAAAAATGGTCATAGATGGTGATTGCAAAAAAGTTTTTTTAATGCACTGTCACAAACGTTTGGTTTTTCCTTTTTTCGAAATTTTTTGATGACTCTTAGTATATCTACTTTTATCAGTCAACGCTCCCACTTCGAATATCTATGATGGATATGCATAACAAAAACACGGCTAATTATTGTTACTTAATTATAAAATAAAAAATAGTTAATAAAATCCTAATACATATTTCAATGTATTTGATATAGTTTATTGTAACGTTTAAACCTCCTCAAAAAAAAGCCTCAAAACTTGCTTAATAGCAAATCTTGATGCTGCCAGGTTACTTCTTTTAAGTGATATGATACAAAAGGTAATTCAGTAATTAGTTACAGCTTTACCTTTTTAAACCTTTTTTAACTTTCTTAACAGACATAAGGTTTACAAAAAACACTGAATCATATTATGAGTTCATAAATGCTTGCCGCTGCCAAACTACAAAAATTGTACAACCCTGCAGAAATGAACTTAGTTAATATTAGCAAGTATTTTCTGTCTGTTCCAGTTGTTAATTAAATAATCCTATGACAATAAAAATAAACTAGCAAATGGAAATAAAAAAATTAACAACAAACAGTAATAATAAACCTACTGATTTTTAGCACTCTCCAAAACAGGCTAAACGTAAAATTAAACTTGATGATTTATTCGTTTTCCAAATAATCCAATTAATATATTTTCTGAATAAAATATCCAAAAAAAATTGGCCACAATATGGTGATTCCAAAAAAGTTTCGTTAAAAATGCATGATCACAAACGTTTGGGTTTCCCTTTTTCCTATTTTTGTTTATATCACAACAATATTCCGCTCAAAAATGAGCAATTAATTTGTAAATATGTATATTTTTAAATTTCTTGACCATTCCGTCAATACCTGATGCGAATCCTCTTAGTATATCTACGTTTATAAGTCACCGTTACCACTTCACATATCTACTGATGGATACGCAGTGACTTCAAACAATTACCGCAACTGCAAAATCTATGTATGGTCCGTACTAAAAAAAATTTCAAAAATTCGCGCCGAAACCCCAAAGCACTCGAGCACAGTAGCAGGGGTGGCGTGCGAACATTTCGTGCGGTACTCACCTTTGCGATCTTCAGTGACGGACGTTCGGTGGCGGACCCTCTCACGCTCTCGCTGCGGTGGCGGCAGCGTGCAACTGCCTCCTCGCGAGGCCCCTTCGCAACGCTGCCGGGTTCCCACCGCCTCGTCTTTGACGCCGTACAGCAGCCTCTGACTCCGACGCCGACGTCTCTTCGAAGGCACTCTCGTGTCCGTCGGGACGCCTGCGCAAATTGGACGCTTTAACGAACGCGCGCGATAATTCTGAACTCCGAGAAGGGTTTTCGTCGGTGTTTTGGCCGGTCGGCCCACCCGGAATAACGCCCATTGGTCGGGCGACGCATGCCACATCGGACGCCACTTGTTGAACGCCCAAAGAAGTCGCCCTCTTGACCTACTGATTTACTGAAGACAGCAGAAGGAGCTATTTTACGGGCTTAACCGGCAAAAGAAGTCGGCATAAAGGCGGAGTGCTCGGATAATGGTTTCAACGAATGCTTTACTTTGGGGATGTGCCCGTCGTGTCTGGGTGTGGTGCGGAATCCCTAAATGCTGAGGGATGGTGAGATTTTACTTACTTCAACGTTGAGAGTGCATCGCAGAGTTTTATATGTCTGTGTATCTGACCACTTCACATGGGTCATTGGGTTGTCATCTCACTGCCCTACTGTGGACAACCTTGGCACACAAAAGTTGTACGTGCAAAGGACATTTTCTGCATCGAGAAAGTGATGAACCTGCGGTTGAAGTTATTATAAGCAATTTGATGAGAAATTTCGATCAATTCCGCTAAATTAACGATGTCAACCATAGCAACTTTGTGCAGACTTAGGCTATAGTTTTACCTTTACATAAAGTAGGCACTCCCTGATTTTAATTAATTGCTGTAGATCAGTGTACTGTCAACACTGTCAACATTTTGAAAGGGCAATGGAAGAACAAATCGAGAGGTTTTTAAAAGTGCATAATATTTTACCACCAACCTAATTCGGATTCAGTAAAAGCTGTGGTTGTGAAACAGCACTTTCTCATATAACAGATAATAAATCAGAATATGATTAAATAAAGCATTTATACCAATATCATTAGATTTTAGCAAAGTCCTTGATACCCCTAACCACACAATACTTTTCTCAATCCTTCATTTTAGCGAAATCGCTTGCAGTAGATATACTAGTTGGAATCGTGGATGATGTTAAAGAAAGATCATTTTTCAATTTTTCAGCATACTATCGTTGCGATATCAAAAAATGTAGCTAAAAAGAAAAAAAAACTTTTGAAACTGTTTGTAATTTTTTTTAAATCGCCATTTTATCTTCATTTTTTTATATTTAAGTTGTGAAAATATCTGAATTGGTATATTTCGGCAACAAATAAATCATCTCGACCTGGCTCTGGTTACAGAGATTATTCTTTAATTCAACCCATTTTGTATATTTCAAAGAATCTTTGCTTTGTCGAAATAAGTATATTTATTTTTCAAATATTGGCATGTTGATCTGATGATTAACAACTTGATAGAGAGAGAACACCTCTATATATTAATAACGTTTGTTTCACCAGAATTATATTTATATTATTTTGACATATTCAATTATAGCTATACAGCACTATAGAGCATCAGTAGAGTATTTATTGATTACTCCTTGTGCCATATCAATCATATCTTACCGATTTAAAACAAGTGACTATTTATGTAGCTTTTGAGACAACGACAGCAATGATTACTGCTTTCAAAGCATATTGAACTATGCAAAATTAGTATCAATTAAATTAATATTTTTTCTTTTATTTTAACAGCAGGTAACAATAGTTAGTAACGTTCTTCGTTACTTATTGGCCATAATATTTAGAGATACTATTATGTTTTTGTGTTATAATTGACAAATGAGCAAATAAAATCGGCTGGTAAATAAATATCTATAAAATCAAAATTTAAAAAATTGATAATTTTTCGAAAGGTAAGGCCTACACTAGGATCAAACAGATTAATACCCGGATCAACACCATATGACTAAAATTTTATTTGATATGAGTACGGTAACGCTATTATAAATATATATAATTTAACGCGTCAGTATCAGGTACCAACGAAAAGATGTTCCAATGGTTCTCCACATCAGTGAATAAAAACTTATTTTGTACATGATTTCATAAATCACGATAACTTACAAATAATTGGAGTAAGAAAGTTTACCGTTTCTTTTAATATTACAAGCGCTTTGTGTGGAACCTCAGAAGAAAAATTCAGGTAGACCAGTAAAGGTTCTTACATCAAAAATGTAAAAGTTCGCTCGTAAGGCAAATACTGATAATCGTATATATTGGCAGCAAAGATGGATTTTCAATAAGTTTCTGCTAACTTTTTAGTTGTACTATAAAGAAAATTACCAAGAGGACATCAATTGATGAAGACTCCAGCTTCATATTAACAAGAAATTGTGTACTGGTTATTTACCAGTATACATATAACAAATTTATTATTATATATGCAAGATATAACAGAACAACTGCGAACAGCCCAAGCAGACACGCAAAAGCGCAAACGCTGTAGCATTTGAAAAATATTAAATATAAGAGACATTTTCTGCATCAAGAAAGTGATGAACCTCGGTTTTTGCGGTTGAAGTTATAGGCTATTTGAACAAAATGTAGCGTAATAAAATGAGAAATGAAAGCAGGCTATAGTTCTTTCGACACCTAAAGTAGACTATTCCTCAGATTTTCACCAGTTGCGATCGATTAGTATACTGCCGGCAAAAAGAAAAGGTTATAATTGTAAAATATCAATGTCACAGATAATATACTTTCTTCGACGATTATTTTCGGTAATCACGCTGAAATTGAGTTATGTAAAAATGTTCTACTAGCTAAGATCTACATATAGTAACTTGAAATTACTATACAGCAATAGGCAATATCTCCCACAAGATTCTCATAAGATACTTTTTAATGTAATGTTTGGATGCCTTGGAGCATTAGAAAAAATTTGTGGAATGCAAGGGTGGAATCCTATTTCGCCCTACCTAATTAGATCGGGTTGGTTAGCAGTATATTCTGCAACCAGTGTGGCGAACAAAGGACTTGCATAAGTATACTTTTTCTACTACCATTAGTTTTTGGGTACATTTTTGTAAAGCAAAACGAATACATTCATTGACATGACTGTCAGAATTGACAAACGTCAAAATTCAAACCGTGCGGTAATATATCCGAACACATCCGATTACACCCAAACCCGTGCGGCAATTGGCAAATTCGTTGGAAACGAAACTCCCGTAGTAAAGTGACGCTTCGTCAAATGACTATTTTCGCAGCTATATCCGTGTATGTTTTAGAGAAGAGAGTAGAAAAATATGCTTTATCGGTCGAAACAGGTTCTCTTTTCAAATATTGAAATGTAAAACTTTTTACATATCTTTACCAAAAAATTCAACTTCGAAGTAATCTACACAAACACCTGCACTTTTGAATTAATTTTGGCCATTGAAGGAAATTTTCAAGGTGGTATTTTGGCCATTAAAACAATACATACACATTGTCAAATACCCATTTAATCATTTAGTTTTTGAAACAGTTGAAAAAATCCAGAAGGCCATGCGTGGCATGGGGCTAAACTCAACGTTACCTGTCAAAGAATGCAATTGTTTTTTGAGTGACAATGTAGTGTCATTTTAATTAAACGGAGTGATTAAATAGTTTTTAAAGTGAAGCCTTTTTGTTATGGATAACAATACTCAGGGTAAATTACAAAAAATACACTTAGTTCAAAATAATTAGGTATCTACACATTTAAAGTTAAAAATGCTAAACAGAGTTTAAAGTTGTTTAAAATATTCGATACTTCTTTTCAGTTAGAGCTACAAAAAACTGATTGCAATTCATTGATATTTAAGTAACATTTTAATGTGTATTAGAGCATTACCCTAAATAGCATGTAGTATATTTTTTCATAAACTTGCATAAACACGTTTTAGGCGTATTTTTACTACCGATGCCGAGTGGACCATAAAAAAAATATATAACTTTTTTATTTTTTGACTGATTTTTATAAATCAAACACTGCAGGATAGCAAAAGACTAAGCCCCTCCATTTGGTCAAAATAACCATTATGAATTTCAAGATGGCGTCGGTTTTGGGAATGAAATGATTTTTAGCTAACCTAATGTATATGCTTTTAAGAAAAATGTCAGGTTATTTGTAAATTTTAATAAACCACGGTTAGTTGTTAAAAAGATATTTCAATTTATTCAAATACTGTTTTGCCATCCAGTTCCACGAATTTGCCGATCCAAATTAAATTCTTTTAAATTTTATAACCAAAAATAAATCAAGGCCGGTGAATAATATTGAAACAAGTTTAAAAAGTAGCCGCGATTTAAGACCGACTTTGAAATCCTGACTTTTAGCAAGTCCTATATTTCTGACATGTGGTATTGGTCCAGTATAACGTGGTATAAACCATGAACCGTTTATTTACTAAGCTTCATAGGTCAGCTAATTTAAGTCATTTTTAAAAGGACAAACCTTGTTAAAAATCAATATTTCAAAATCTGCCTCGACCTTGCGAATACAAAGTGGTTTGTTTTATGCGAGTGTCGACTGAAAAATTAAGAACTTTTCAAAGTATGGTTCTCTGAAAAAAATATTAAACCTACTAAAATTATGAATTTTATTTTAAGTAAATTTGACATTCCTGATGTGTCAAAGTCGTACTTGAGAAAAAAGTATGAGTATTTTGTGCAAATGTACTATTTATCTTTTGAAAAAAAATCTAAGCGTTCTCAAAGAAGAGATGCTCTAAACTTAGCAAAATCGAACAAACACGTCTCCAAGCCAATTGTTCATGCAGTTGCTATTGCTACAAACCTCTCAGTCCCCAAGAAGCCTTATCTTTTTTACGGGAAAACAAGTTCACAAAACAACAATATTTGGCTATACGTCATTGCACTGAAATTAGGAGCCATGATACTTAGCCACAATAAGAGTACGTTAATCAAGCAAAATTTGAATGCAGAGCACCAGATATAATTGTAAGTGAAAGAATAGCTAGGGTGCCCCTAGAAAATCTTCTTAATCCTACGACTAAGAGAATACTTTTTGGTTCAAGAAGATGTTCTTAGAAACTATTTGGAAATGGACAATTATGATAATAACTTTA